CACCACCCCAGGCCCCGCGCCCCGTGCCGCCACACTCCAGCCCGTGCCCGCGGGACTGGGAAACGCTGTGACCTGACCGTGGATGTTATGAGCAAGGTCACCTTTTCCAGGCGCTTCTCTGGAAAAGACTGTGGTTGAGCTGAGACCTAGCGCTTTGCGGTCAACGCTGGCCACATAACCTTAAACACATGCACAGGGCTGTGTCCGTGCGCTGCGCATACACGCATATGAGTTCATGGTTGATTTGTAGATTTTTATGCTATGTAAGACCTTACTGAATAAAGATTATTTCTCTCAAAAAACTATAGGTCATTAAATATTAACATCAGTCAGTTCGTCTACTTTTAAGTTTTTCAGGTAACTGAGAATTAGGAACTGAGTTAATCCATGAAAGGAATAACATACCATATTTTATCTCCTTAAAATAGAATGTATTTGTGATTCCTTCAAAAATGTGAGTGTTAACATTAGAAATGTTTAGTTTTTTCCCCACAGACTGATCTATTGAAATGTTCAATATGTGTGTGTGTGTGTGTGTGTGTGTGTGTGTGTAATATAATATACCGTACATGAGCAGGGTCTTATGCTCCCACCTTACTCTGCACTAAAGAAAACAACACAGCACTAGGGTCAGCATTATTCTGCTGAGTTAGTGGTGTTTTTACAACTTTATTTCAAAACACTGAAACAGTGGCCTACATAATCATTAAGCCTAATAAATAGAGAGAAAACTAGAATAAAGGAAACAGTTCTCTTTAAATGGGTAAAATGAGAAGTGCCAATGGCTGTTTAGTGCTCTCATTGGCTGTGGGGTCCACGCCTGGACAGCTGTACCACAGTACTCGCTGCTAAGTTCTCAACAACCACACACACACGTTCACTGTTAATCTTTACGTTTTGCTAAAACACTAAGATGAGATGTTCCTCGATATCTATCTACTAAATTTATTTGCTCTACAACAAAATCACTCATGTGGCTGATGGCTCTAAATCCAAACTGTAATTTGCCCTCATACAGAACTGGAACACTGTGTTGGTACAGATCTGCTGTTCACTGCTCCTCTGAAGTGCCATATGGCACACTTGGGTGCTATCGACAAGAATAAGTGAACCAGTAATATGATGCAAGAAAACTGACAAGTTGGTTTTTAATCTGAGAACATTCTAGAGCAGCGGTCGCCAATTGGTGGTCCAAGGGCCACTGGTGGTCCGTGAGGTCCGAAAGGTTGGTGACCGCTGTTCTAGAGCCTTAAGACGTTTCAGTAGACAGACAAAGGTGAGGGGTCACTCGGTTCCAACTCAAACTTTTATCAAGGAGGCATCAGTGTTCAAGTAAACTTAAAATTGGTATTTATAGAAGAAAAACTACGTTTATGATCTACTGGAGCCTGTATTGAAGGTTTGTTTATGAGAAAGGATGAGGCTGCCATTGCTATTGTTTCTCCTTAAATTTCAAGAAAGCCTTGAGAAGAACATAAATATTGTTTACAAAATAGAAGACACAGATTATCTATAATGGTCAGCAAGATGTAGACCTGCCAAAAATTATAATGCAATTTCAATTTGAGTGTTTCCCAGACTCTTCATCCTGGAACGTTCCTTAGTCACTGTAAGTAATACATTTAAGGCAATAAATAAGAATGGGAATAAGAGGAGGCAGACATTGAAGAACACAGACTAAAGAGGAAAAGATGTGTTCTGATATGTCTGAAACATTTGAGGGCAGGTGTAAGCTTTACTCCACAATTAGAGAATACAACTAGGACATTATGAATTGCTTTGGTTGTGTTAAAAGTTTGATTTAAACTTCAATTTGTTTACAAAAAGGAGTCTGAATAAAACAAAGAAGGTATACCTTAGAAAATCCCATTCTAACCCTTGTACTCCATCTTTTACTAGTTTCTTGTGTGTCTTTCCAGAATTTTGTTTTTCAAGTTAAACGTTTATTGCACACTCACTGTAGTCAAGTTCTCAAAATACAACGCTTAACAACACAATTTCACCTTCAAGGACTGTACGGTTACACCACCTGTATAAAAAGTGATTTTTGTGGAAACATGGTCAAATAATTTGCAGGGAAAAAGTGACACTGAAGTTTTGGGGATGGAGATTCCGGCGTAAGCAAAGGCCCAGAGACATGGAAATACAGTATGGTCTACGTGCAGATCTCAGCCAGCCCTGTCGCCAGGCCTTCAGGCCCTCTGCCTCTGTCTCCTCTATGTTAACTTTTGCCATTTTACAAATGTACAGCACTTGCCTCTAGTTCACCCATCTTTCTACCCACTTAACTTCCCTGGGAAGCATTTTAGCAAAGCTATTCAAAGCATGAAAAGTCCCACTGAAAGTTCCAGTCGTTTTACTCACAGCAATTTCTACTAAGAAACAGGGATGCTTTCTAGCCTTGTTACTTACATGTTATTCATATTAGCATAAATGTTTTAATCTTAAATGCTCAACAAGGAACTATTGGAACAGTAAAAATACATCATTAGGAGAAATTATTAAACCATTAAAATTTGTTTTTTAAGGAATGTTTAATAAGGTAGATACCATATGCTTTGCTAACATGTGTTTTTATTGGTTGAAAACAGCCTGCTCATCGTGCATACACGGAGAGCACTTTTAAACACACTGTCATTATCATTTCAGACTGGATTTTAATAGGTGGTGCAAGTGCTTTCCTTCTATGGGAAAGAAAATTCCTTTAAAACTAATTTGAAGCCAGGACCAAAATTCCAGAGCTGTGTTCTGAGGCTCACACGGAGCCTTCATGGTTCAGGTAACACTGGGGAAGCTTCCAGCCAACCTTTTCGGGAAGACGCCCCAGCTCCGTGTCTCATCGGCCAGGAGGAGCAGGTTGGTGGCAAGCACAGTGCAGGCGAGAAGACGAGGTTTCTTCACACAGTAGCTGCCCACCCGCCTCCTGCCGCTCCCACGGGCTCACCTGGTTCAAATTCACACCCACACGCTGACCTGATTCCAAATGTTCTGCCTGAACTTCCGTGTTTCCTGAAGATCAAAACTGGAATTCTGAGCAGGAACCTTGCGAATAACAAGCGATGCCTCAGCTTGAGCTCCGAGTTGGGCCCTGCCCTTTGCCCGGGCTCCTATGTAACCAGGGCGCCTGCCACTGCCTCTCCGGCTGCACCGCGGGAGCCACAGGCCAGCAGCGAGCATTTCCCGGAGCCACAGGCCGGCACCTACTGCTCCTTTGATCTGAGTGCGTGTGTGCTAGTTGGTCCTTTGACCAATAATGTAGCAGAGGGAGGCCGCTTACACTTCTCAGCAAAGGTGCCCCGCTCCTCTCCCCCTGTGTGCACATGGACAGGCCTGCTCGTCCCAGCATCAGGACTCAGGGCGTCCAAAGAATTTAGAGCTGCGCGCCCCCCCCCCCCCCAACACACACACACCAGCAAGAGTCAGCCTTTCTGTCGTTCCTTTCTTCACTCTGCAGAGCTGCTCTGCCTTCTTTTGCAAGAGCATCGAAGGAAAGTGACTAATAACAAAAGCCCTTCATCTGAGTCTCCACAGACTGGTGTTCAGCCTGTGGTGCTGAGTTTGCCTTCCCTGAGGCAGCACATGGCCCT